ACTGTCCCCAAGATTGGTTTAGTCTTGCCAGCTCATCAATTTCATCTGTAGTGGCCTCTGATTAGTTTAATGAGGCTATGTGTTCTAACACTGGTATATAAATGATCCTTATAGCATTCTGGCCTGTGGTTTCTATTTTAAAAATGTGCATGTGACAGATAACTTGTGTAATTATTTTTTCAGTCATTAATTAAAAATAAGCCCTTTACTTGTAAAACAAACAATGTTAAATTAATTGCTTTAAAACTTTTAGGAGTTTACTAGGATAGCAACTGACAGAGCAGGTCATATTGTACTGAAAATAATTCTAAGGCTACCTGGTAGTAATTAAAGAAGCTACAATTCATCAAGGAAATGTGAGGATTACTGTGTTTGCCATAATCTGTTTAATACAATACATAGAATATCGCATGAGGTTTTATCCTTGTTAAAAACTCTCATTTTTAGAAAGCTGGGATTTGTACAAAGGGAGATATGTTTAAAAGCATCCTGCATATTGTTATTCTAATTACATACTGCTTAAGTTGTTCTAATATGTTAATGTTAAAGAAGGTATAAGGAAGAAACAAACCTGCTGGGATGAAATAATGTAAGCCATAAATTTACCACTTGCAGGAAGTTAGGTAGAATCAATGTTTGTTATTGTTAAAAATTACACATATTATCAATGTCTTTTATTCTTTGATCACTTGCTTCCTGATGTATCACATACACCAAATGTATGTATCATTTGTTTCTGTATTATACAAAGAGACTCCCCTTGAATAAGGCTGTTTACTTTGCCTGAATTAATTGGTGATTCATATTTTCGGGAGGGCAAAGAAGACACATTGCAAAGGTAAAAGTCTCTCTTTCATATTCAGAGATCCAGCTCTTATCAATTCCATGCCAAACTCAGGGTGTCTGAATATTGAGGAAACAGTTAAATAAAATTAATCTAAAACAAAATGCTACAACTCATATCTGCAACCAGAATCTGTCACCATAACACATTATGAAATTTGGAAATACCTCACCTAGTTTTCACCAGTTGCACTTTGCACATGTGGTGGTAGCCAATGAGCAACTTCTGAGAAGCTTGTCAGTTATTTACTCAAGTAATTGCTTAGCAACCTGATGGAAACATTGGGGGAGGGGAGAGAATTATTCAGAATAGAATACCGGTCATTTATTCCCTTGCAGTAATAAAGTAAAAGGTAAAACCACTGAGGGGATAAAAAGGAACTGTTTCTGACAGCCAGGATAGAAGCAAAGTGAATTATCTTCTCTTCATCTTCAAGCTCCAGAAAAGACTCCAACAGTATGAATCACTTTTTAAGGATACCAGAAGTGGGAAAAGGCAAAAAGCTTTTATATGACATCACAAAGTGGACCAGCAAAAAAGTGGATTGAAGAAGGGTGCTTTATTATGCAATCACTTGGTCTCATTCATGGAACTGTTTCCTTTAGTGGTTTTTCGTTGTTTTTCACACCAGTTTTCTTTTCCAATCCCACAGAAAATCTGTTAGACAGGAAGGAAAGAGTAAGTGTTGAGTGTCTTCTGATTAATTGTATTGGAAGGTCTCCATGTGGAAGCATCCAACATTTGGTAGTTCCCCATGAGTGGATGATTTGTAAAATATGTACAAAAAGAAAAAAAAATCATTTAATTAGTAAACAAGATAATCATGTCCCAAGCAATTTTCTGATTATGAAACAGCCAGGAAAACAAAATCTGCTATACTATCAGAAATAAAGCAACAAACACCAAACTGGTAAAGATAAATACCAGCTCTATTGCTGTGCTGTGCTGAGCTACTAGATGACTAACAATTGATCGCACCGAGCATTGTGGCTCAGTTCTGCTTTTAACCCTCACAAAGTTACAAAACCAAACAATTATCTCTTGCCAGCCGAGGCAATTCAACTCTAGCACACCACTGCCCCAAATTCATAATTCATTGGTAATACCTGTGGGAAGAAGGAAAAAACAGTGTTAAAGTAATTATGAGTTATGTTTGTACCAGATTATATTGTGTGTTGACCTGGAACTTTTAGTTTTGCAGTCTTAACTCTAGATTGCAAAGGTTTTCCTAAAGTTTATTGGAAGAAGAATCAAGAAAGCAAAAAGAAAATGAGTTCCTCCAAAAACATGCACAAACAAAGCAGACACAAAAATATATTAAATTTATCTTTAACTAATTTACATTTAATTTTTAAAATTAGCCTAGTGCTGAAAGCTTAAATTTTTCTAGCTCAGTTGAGAAAAAGTATCAATAATTTTCAAATTAGCAAAGCAAAAGAAATATTTCTCTTGGAAGAAATAGAGTATCTGTAAGGTTAAATATAAGAACCCATCAGTCTTCTGAACATTCTGGGATGGTGCCATCACAATGATATGACCAAAAATGTTTTGTCTTCTTTCAGAAAATTGCAGTCTAGTTACATTTTATCATCTTTGTACAGACTTCAGGTTCAGTTGATTGAAAGTATAGAATTAGGCTAATTTAGAAATACTCAAGAAATACTACTGAAGCAGGACAAATAATATCAGAATTCTTCCATAGATTGTTTTATTTAAAATAAAAATAGATACATATCCTAGGTGGTAAAAACTCTGAGAAAGAATGAGGATTTGAGAAGATTCAAACTTGTAACTACAGTGAAAGTTTTAGCAGGATGCTTTTCAGAGAAGGGCATTGATATTTCCTAAACATTTCAGTAGCCCCTATCCCTTTCCCCATGCACATTTCAGAATTGAGATTTGGATAGAGGCTCTTTGTTGAATTTTGCAGTCTGTCATTTGTTGTTCAGAACTAATCAGAACTAATCAATTCAGCAGATAATTCTAAGTGGATTTTACATCTGAAATAAATTCTAGGTAAGTTATAGTATATAAAATAAAGGGACTTTATGTACTAAACAGTAAAACATACACACAGGGAAACAATTGGTGAAGTAAAAGAAGAAGAAGAATCTTTAAGATATTATTTGTTGGAAAAGTTAGAAGACCACATTCTGAAAATAATTACTAAACCACTATGAGCTTAATGATGGATTGGCTGCTGTGCGTTGTATCATTTCTTCTAGGAATATGAACTTCTGACCATGGTAAGTTCTCAATATTTTAATATGGACATAGCTATATGAGAATACACACACACACACGTGGCAAGAAGTATTCTATAAATTATTTCACAATTGTACAACAAATTGCTATAAGAATTAGAATTGTAGAAAAAAAAATCAGTTTTGCATTTTTAAAATTTAAAATGGTAAAATTCTGACAGCTACACTATTAATTTTCCAGTGACTATAGAACAGTGGTTTAATACACAGATGTTTATGAGGTTGTTCAGCAAAATGTTATACTTCTTAGAATGCTGTGACATGCCATTTTCATTTGGTGTTACTATACATAGAAATGTATTCTTCATAAGCATATAGCATATTGGCAATCCCATGCTAATAGCGACAATAACAATTGTATTCTTTAACAAAAAAAACTTATTTATCTGTTTATTTATATCCTACCTTCGTTAGTTCAAACAGTACTAAAAGCAGAGTGGTCAATATTAAAAACATTGGAATGCAGTGAGATAAGAGGGTCATTATTTAGTTTAGTTTAGTTTTACTTTATTGACATTGCACCTCGTACAATGAAATCAAACACCATCTTCAGTGCACATCATGACCATGACCATGGAAATAAACACAAACACACATCCTTCACCCTTTACACATTGAACTGGAAACCCCCGACACCACACCAACACTGCACTCTACAGCAGAATTCAAAAGAGCTACTGCCCTGGGATAGAAGCTGTTTTTCAGCCTATTTGTCCTTGTTTTTATTATTCTGTACCATCTGCCAAATGGTAATAGTTCAAAAAGAGGGTGCCCAGGATGAGATGGACCTTTGAAAATGTTTTGAACTTTCTTAAGGCAGCGGGAGCTATAAAGCTCTTCCAAAGAGGGGAGAGGGCAACCAATGATCTTCTGGGCAATGACATTAACCCTTTGGAGTGCTTTCCTATCTGCCACTGTGCAATTGGCAAACCATACAGAGGTGCAGTATGTTAAAATACTCTCTATGGTGCAGCGGTAGAAGGTCACCAGCAGTTTTTCATTCAGTTGTTATTTTCTGAGAAGTCTCAGGTGATATAATCTCTGCTGGTCTCTTTTGACCAGGGCTGCAATGTGGGCACCCCAGGAGGTCCTCTTTTAGGGTAACACCCAGAAACTTAAAACTGGCCACTTGCTCCACTCGGTCTCCATTGATAAGCAAGGGCTGGATGTCAGATCTGTTCCTTCTATAATCCACTATAAGCTCCTTGGTCTTATTGGTGTTGAGGACTAAGTTGTTGTCTCCACACCATGAAAACAATCGGTCCACCTCATCTCAGAAGGCAGACTCATCCCCCCCGGAGATAAGTCCCACCACTGTTGTATCATCTGCAAATTAGACAATAGTATTACTAACGTGAGTGGGAATGCAGTCATGCACATAAAGAGTATAGAGTAAGGGACTCAACACACAACCCTGTGGCGTACCAGTGTTAAGAATAAGGGCTGAAGAGGTATGATTACTTAATCTGACCCTCTGTGAGTGGCCAGACAGGAAATCCATAATCCAAAGGCAGATTGAATTAGAAAGCCCAAGGTCCAGAAGTTTAGACACTAGTCTATGTGGAAGAATTGTGTTAAATGCAGAACTAAAATCCACAAAAAGCATCCTCACATAGCCCTCCCACAATTCTAGATGAGTCAGAGCAGTGTGAAGAGTGATGGATATAGTGTTTTGTGTAGATCTATTTTTTCTGTATGCAAACTGGTGTTTATCAAATGTTTGCGGAAGACCAGAAATGATGTGCCAGAAGACCAATTTCTCAAAGCACTTCATGATAATAGGAGTGAGTGCCACTGGTCTGTAATTGTTGAGGTTATTGATAGGGAACTTCGTTGGCAGAGGAAAAATGGTGGAAGCCTTCAAACAAGATGGAATAGTGGACTGAGATAAAGACCAATTGAAGATTTAGATGCTATTTAAAAAATGTGGCAATTTTTAGGAAAAAATAGCACAGGAATATAAATGAATTTTAGGAGAGGGAATAATAATTGGAATCTAACTTAAGAAAATCATGCTGCATTTGTTGTGCTGCCAATAAAACAAAGACAATAAAAACAATTGTCTGCATGCTGCTAATTGTAACTTCAGTCTGCAGCCCACCTGAAATTGACTTTGGAAGAATTGAAATGAATAAACAAAAGGAATATCTGGAAAATGACAGAATACAATATAACTGTCATCCTGGGTATGATTTGGAAGGGTCTGACTGGATAACATGTAAAAAAGAAGGATGGATACCACCACCAAAGTGTTTCGGTAAGTGGGCTATGTGATGAAATGATTACTTCAGTGTAGCTTGAGAGTAATGTAAGTAAAGGAATAATTGAGCAGTTCCTTAAAAAGAAGATGGAATAAACAACCAGCTGGACATATAGGTAGATCACAGTCGGTGGGAGTTCAAATAATACAAATTATAAATTGATACCAGATTGCATAGTCAAATTCAAGTCAAAATTCAGTTAATGTAAGACTAGCATGCATACAATTGAGGCTAGCACATTGGCAGTTGAGGCTACATATGGAGAGCTGCTGAAGATGCTAACCATTGTATATACATGTATACAAAACAGAGGAAAGAAAGACTGTTCAAGGAAAGAGGTTCATTTGAAAAATTACAGCAGAAATACTGGAGACTGCAGGTATACTTTGGAAATAGGTTTATTTTTTTTATGGTTATACAATATTTCATAACTTTGTATTTATTCCAATTCCATTTTAAATTGTTTTTATTGGATTTTGGTAATTTTTGTTTGGTACTCTGCACTTTGATATGGCCCATGGGCTAATTAATAAAGTAAACTAACTAACTTTGTAACATTTATGCTTAAAACTTTAAATTGCCTATTTCCGTTGAGCTGGAACCCTATTCTCCATAGAAACATCACTGTGCAGGCGCAAATTTTTATAATGTGACCACTTTTCCATGCGAATTGAAAACTACCTGTCATAAAGAAAAGCAGATAATTAGCATAAATAAATAATGAATGAATGAAAACAGAGTCACTGCTGGCTATTCCTGCATAGTAAAATATTGTCTTCTAAATAAGCACAAAGTTCTATATCTCCAAATATTACTATTTCTGGTTATGATTTAATGTTTTTTGTTGAATTACTTTTGTTGGTTTTGAATGCTTATTTTTTGGTTGTATTATAACTGTAATCTGCCCAGAATCTCTAGAATGGGACAGTATATGTTACTTTTAGATACAAATAAAAATAATTTTATTGCTGCTTATACAAATGAATGAATGAACAAACAACCTAGGTACTGGATTCTCATATAATGTTGTTAAATAAATTTTGACGGTTTATAGCAACTGGTCTTCTGAATAAATGAGACAGAATAAACTACAGACAGAATATAATAACAACTATGTATTAAAAAACTATTCCCAAAAATGTGATTGAAGATAACAGCAGTATAAGAATACAAAATATACTTATTTATAAGGTTGTGCATTCTTTGAAAATTATCTCAAAGAAGTGCTCTGGACCTTTCAACACTTTATTCCATAAGCATGAAATGACAACTGTAAGTGCTTTAAAAGAAGTATTAACTTTGAGGATTGAATTCTTATGTCAGCAGACATAAAGACACACCCTCACTTTGTTTTGGCTTACATGAAACCTGACAGATATAAATTTGCTTTAGTGAATGAAGGAGAGGTGTTGTTCTTGCCCACTTGGATAAATTCTGAAAAAAAACCCAAAACTTTTAAAGTATACACAATTCTATTTATTTATTTTTAAATTACTTTAGAAGAAATTGTTTCATTTCTGATCAAATGAAACCAGTTTTGTCGTCTACTTAAAAAAATAAGGTAGATACAGAGATACTTCTTGAATGTAGACTGAAATTAGAGAACTGCAATTTTCTGTGTAGATTGAAATCTGCCTAAAAAGGTGTTATCCTCATGTCCAAACATAATTTTTAAGATGTTTGGTTTGGCTTTGGATTCAGATCCTGGTGAGCCATGAGCATTTATTGAGCCGACAGAATCTTTTCTTTTTTAAAAAAGAAATGTCTTCCTCATCCTTTGGTGAAGCCAGAACAATCCTATAGAGGTTGATTCAGAAGAAAGTTCTGTTGTATTTGATGATGATTATAGGCCTCAGCACAGGAGTACAGGCAGTCCTGGGTTAAGAATTATTTCAGTTCCTAACTCTGTTTTTAATTTGTTTTGGTATGTTAGCCAAAAGTCATACTTACAAATAGAGTTCATATTACTAAAAATGGTGGATGGCATTATCCTTCCTTGAGCTGATGAAAAGCTGAAGCTATACAATGTTTTCAAGAACCACTGAAAATGGTTGAAAACAAGCAGTATAATATAGCAGGACTGTCAAATTCCAGGCCCACAGGCTGGATGCTGGCCATGCCCCTGCCTGGTTTAGTGAAGGGGGGGAAAGTTCCAATATGTCACGTGACACCACTGTGATGATGTGATTTTGACATCCCTGATATACAGCTTCAGTGGTTCCTGAAAACATTGTGTGGCTTCAACAGTTTATTTGCTTGAGGAAGGAGACAGCTGTCTATCATTTTCAGTAGACAGTATTTTAGTATTTTACTGAAAATACTAGTTTTAGTATTTTAGTATTTTAATTAAATAACTATTTTAAATGCATACATATATAGGTAAAGAAATATAATTAAAATAAAGGAATATCAGCTTCCAGCACAAAGGCAATCTATATTTTTTCTCAATTTTCTTTAGCACCCTGTATTCTCACAAAACAGCAGCTTGATGATAGAAATCTTCTTTTGAATGATGGACAACGGCATTCAGAATGGATAAGAAATGGGCATACAATAGAATTTACATGCAGGAAAGGATATTCCATTGTATCTCCTTCTGTCAGAAAGTGTGTTGATGGGAATTTAACTTTACCTTCCTGTAATTCTTCTGGTAAATGTACTGTTATTGTGAATCAATTTCAACAGGCTTTATTTTAACCTTAACAAATTAATTGTTATATTTTTCTTTTTCCTGTCTTTGATTTACCTGGATTGCTGCTTTCTTTCCATTTAGATTATATATTTGGACCACCATAAACCTACATATGACCTAGGTTTACTCATATCCTATTTAAAAATGTTTCCCGTTTGCCATGCCTATTTGTTTCTCAGATTCTTCACTGTTATCAAACCCAATCCTGTTTTTTATATACTTCCCCCATTTCACTTTATATTACTGGGTCTGATCTACATATTCTTTTTTTACAATCAAAGGACCAAACCTAAACCCAGATTTATCAAACACATCAAAGCTCTAACAGATGTGCATGGCATTCAAGAATAATTTGGTGTGTTTTCACAGCAGCCACAGAGACTTTACTACTTTGAGAGTTATATAGGTAGTCCTCAACTTAGGTCCATAATTGAGCCCAAAATTAATGTTGCTAAGTAAGAAATTTGTTAAGTGAGTTTTGCCCCATTTTATGATTTTTCTTGCCACAGTTAAGTGAATTATTGCGGTTAAGTTATTAACCCAGTTGTCAAGTGAATCTGGCTTCCCCACTGACTTTGTCAGAAGGTCACAAAAGGGGATCACAACCATTATAAATATGAACCAGTTACCAAGCATCTGAATTTTGATTACATGACCATGCAGATGTTGCAATGGTTGTGTGAAAAATGGTCATACGTCATCTTTTTCAATGCCGCTGTAACTTCAGTTACTAAATAAACTGTTGTAAGTCGAGGACTACCTGTAATGTTTTGCTTCTAAAAGGAGCAGAGTGGTATAAAAACTTATCCAAGTTACCCAGATTTTCAGAAGTAGAAGGATAATATATTTTCCACATAGATAAGGAATAGTATAATGAAAATGATTTGTTGTTTAGATTTTCCTGAGTTCACACAATAACTGCTTTTAAGCAGGAGAATTTTCGGTCATTTACCTTTTAGAAACACAATGGAAGAACACAATATCTGAATGTCCTAAAGAACTCTCTATAAAATTAGGATCTGCTGTTTCCAAAAATCTGTCATGACAGGGTTAACTTTCTATTGCATAGAAGGGCAATTGTGATTTCTAAACTTAGTTTAAACCAACTGGAGAAAATGAGATTATTTTTCCACACAATTATTCTTGATTATAATCAGGGGAATTATAAATTTTAAACTGTGACTACCATACAATTCCAAACTAGAACTTGGTGTATGAGAAAGAAAGGTGGCATATTATACCAACATTCATTAAAAATCAATGGAAAGAATCTGCATAATAATTTATGTGTTATGTATTGTGTTCTTCTAATGGTGCAGAGACTTCTATTGCGGCTGCTTTCACTTCTAGGAGACTGCTACCACTAGTATTGAATTCCTCTTCACAAGGTATTAAAATAGTATGATGCCAATAAAACATTTTGAGAGTATTTTTAAGGAGAAATACAAGGGGTATTCAGTAAAGATATGGTTTCCTTGCATCAATTCTAATCAAACAAATATACACAGATATTTGAACATATCTGTGGTTATTTGAAAAGAATAACCAAAATCTTATTCAGGTTAACTGACTAAATTTGCTGAATTCCTTGCTTTTAACTAATTGTTAGGAGACTTTTACCATTTTGCATATGCCAATTTAAGCAACATAACTGTAATAACAATTCAGGGTAGCAAATGAGGAACTGCATTATGCGGAAAGATGAGGAACTGCATTATTATTTTTCAACAATGTTTTTGTGAGAAAAATCAGTTGTTCAGTTTGTTTCATATCCTCTGAGAGGAAAAAAACTCCATATCTTTTATGATCTTGGTTCAAAAATAAACCAGGGAAGGAGCCCAAGAAAGTAGAAGGGCAAAAATTTAATCACCTTTCTAGATGTTGTTTTCCAATTACATGTATTTGCATTGGAACCACAGATTGCCCTCATTATTTTGTCAGAGCATAGGTATTATATAGGACACCAAAAACTACAGAATGTTGATAGAAAATAGAGAAACATAATAACTTCATAACAATATTTCTATTTTTCCATACAAGTCATTTGCCCTGCTCCTCGAATAGAAAATGGTAGCTTTTTCCCTCTGTGGATGAGTTACAACATTGAAGACATAATCTACACAACATGTAAACCAGGATATATGCTTGAAAGTCATAAAAATTCCTCTAAATGCACCAAAGGTGGCTGGTTGCCAAATCCAAAATGTGTCAGTAAGTAGTTTTCATGAAACTGCATATTTTTTTTAATTCAATGCCAAATCTTAAGGGCTAGTAATGTATTCAGTTGTACACATCTATATCTCTGCAATACTCAAAGTTGGTCTTTTATTGCTGTTTTCATTTAATCATGGATAAAATAGAAATGAGATGCTATTCCATATGGCAGTGTTTCTCAACCATGGCATCTTTAAGGCATGTGAACTTCAACTCCCAGAATTCATCAGCCAGCTAGGAAATTCATAGCTGGCTAGGAAATACTAGGACAGGGGCGTCAAACTGGCAGTCCATGGGCCAGATGTGTCATGCACAGGCTACACACACCCCCAGCTTCACAAATGGGGAAAAGTCACAAATGTCACATGACAGCAATGTGACATGGTGAGTTTGACACCCGTGTTCTAGGAGTCAAGGTCCACATGCTTTAAAGTTGCCATGGTTGAGAAACACTGCCATATGGTAACCAGTGAAGATTCTAGTCTGACTTCATATTTCTTCCTGCTTTTCAGATCCATATTTTCTCTCACATGCTCTCTAGCTAACTTGAAAAGTGCTCAATTTGAACAAGGTTGAGTTGGTTTAAAAGTTGACCCTTTATCATAGAGGAATCATGTAGGCTTCAAAAATAATAATACTAAAAAGGCAGTGCTGAAAAAGCTATCAAAAAGTGCTTAATGCATGATGCTGTGTAGTAAGGTAAAGACATTATAACTACAGGATTAAAAAGAGGAATATAAAGAGGTAAAATAACTGTAACATCATTCCCCTTTCCTAAGTGTTGAAAAGTTCCAGAAATAAAACACTTATTCAAGTTCAGTTTTCATCAGAATGAAGACATTGGGCATTTTCTGGCATTTTAAAATATTTGTGACTAGATTTCTTTATAAATTTAGATAGTTATTGAGTAACAACCACTCAATCAGTGACTGTTCAATATTACAACGGCACTGAACAAGAGGGATTTATGATTCGTGAAGTTGCAACTATTATGGTATCCCTGTGGTCACATGATCACAATTAGAGTGTTTGGTGCTTGGCTCTCAAGTATGATGTTGCAATGAGCCATGATCACAATTTCCAATGTTCCTGAAGCCTTAATATGGGTAGATTGGTGAGTGGAGGATTCAGGTCCTAAGTGCTCTTTCCATTCATGGAGGATTTTTGATTTTGATTTTCAAGAAAGGACTTCCATGTGAAAGTAAGCGAAACAGATAAATACCATTAATATTCCCTGAGTAGAATTGTTCCTTGCAGAATGCTTCCATTTGTGAAAACAAAGACTCTTTCAAACCTATAATGGTTTCAGCTTTAAGACAGAAATCCTAAATGTATTTAGAAGTTCACCTGAAATCAGTAGAATAAGTTTTCATTATGGAGTATAAAGTTGGGTAATCCATTTTGATGATGAGTATATTAAGCTAATATTTTGAAATGACACACAAGAGAGCTTTCTAACAATGATGAAAATTGGTGGAATATGTTGATGTTTTGGAATTGATTAATTGTTTGTCTTTACTTTCTTCAAAGGAAAACAGTGTGACTTTCCTCATATAGAGAATGGAGCACTATCCTGGTCCAACATATATTATAGTGATGTCTCTTTTCCCAAAAAAGTGGGGCAAACAATTGGTTTCAAATGTAATCATGGTTTTCTGCCAAGAAATAAAAAGCATTGGGATAGAATCAAATGCACTAATTTTGGCTGGGATCCAGAACCACAATGTTATAGTAAGTGCATCATTTTTAAGTTTCACTTTTATGAGTTTGGAAAGCCCCAATAATATTAACTTTATTTTAAAGCCATAATTAGCATAAATCTATTAAAAAAACTACTAGCATTCCATAACACATTTGTAGGGCTGAAGAGAATTCAAAGGCAAAACAGTTCTGCAACTTCTTAAAACAAATTGAGGGATTCTTCAAACATCTTTGCTTTGTTAATTTATGAACCAGTTTTGGACACTTTTAAATACAATTTTGCAAAGAGTTACATATTTTAGTTTTCTTATATATTTTCTATTATCTGACATCTAACAAGAAAAAAAAATGTGTTATATATTGCATTTATTTCATATATTTTTAGAAATTGGGAGTAGTCAAAGAAGCTACACTTGAATAATTACCAGAAAATCCCAAAACCCTGAGAATTTTTTCAATTTCCACAAAAATTTCAAATTATTTTTATTGTATTTTCTTTCTTTTCTATTTTTCTTGTTTTTTTTCCTTGTTTGCAATTTTTCCTTTTCCTTTTATTTTTTTCTTTCTTACTTTATATTAGTTTGTTAGTTTTTGATTTGTGTTTAAATTTTTTAGTAAAAATATATGCATTTATTTTCTTTTTAGAACAGTGCATTCCTCCTAAACACTTGCCACATGGTCGTGTGACTTATAACTATGGGAATACTTTCATAGACGGTGATGAGATTTCATTTAATTGCGATATGGGATATTATCCTGAACACCATTTACCAATAGCCACATGCAGAAATAATGACTGGTTCCCCACTCTGAACTGTGTCTCTACAGGTAAACATCACTTAGATCCTTTCTATGTATTTCTTTCTTTTTTAAAAATTAATATAAATTGAAAGAGCAACATATTCAAAATCCATATAGACAGTGTGTTGTCTGGTTACAATTCTTTTGAATAATATTCATCATGGTAATAATAATAGTATTCTCTAATAGTAATCTTATAATAACAGTGCTTTTCCTTCATAATATTGATACATATAAATTGTTAGTACTAATCAAAATTAATTAAAATTAATAAGTTACAGTGGTCAACCCTAATCTTTCTCTTGTAGTTTTTGAAGTTCTAACTCTTGTTTCTCTCATTTAACCATCGATAAAACAGATCCCTAGTGTCTTCCTTTTCTTTAATTTCAAATGTTAGTTTGTTCATTTCTGCACATTCTAAAATTTTTGTTATTACCATTTCTTCTGTGGAGATCTCCTCACTCTTCTAACGTTGGGTGAACACTATTCTGGCCGCTATGAATACATGTATTATTAAATATCCATTCTTTTTACTGTATTTGTTTGGTATGATGCCCAACAGAAAAAATTCTGGTTTTAAATCTATATGTTCCTTTATCATTTTTTCTAGCCAGGTGTGTATTTTAGTCCAACATTTTTTTGCTTTCAGACATGTCCCCCACATGTGATAATATGAGCCCGGGGTTTGGTTGCACTTCCAACATTTGGCCAATATATTCTTAAACATTCTAGCTAATCTTGCTGGGAGAAAGTGCCATCTATAAAACATTTTGTATAAGTTTTCTTTATATGCAGTGGACGTTGTCAGTTTATAGTTTCTGTCCCACAACGTTTGCCATTTGTCCAATTCTATTGAATACCCAAACTTTTTAGCCCATTTACTTCCTTTACTTGCTCCTCTTCCATTCTAATAGTCAATAAATAATTATAGAATTTTTAAATCAGTTTCTCCTCCGGTCCTATTAAAATTTGATCCAATTTTGTTGGTTCTTTATAAAAATAATGTTTTAACTTCTTTATAATATCTAGATTGTATCTGTACATGAGGCCACCATGCTAAATTTATCCCTTGGCTATTCAATTCCTGTTGTTTTTCAATTTCCCCTTCTCATTTAAAATACCTTGGTATCTTACAATTTTTCCCATATCTATCACATTTGGGTATGTTGGTACCTCTATCATGGAGAGCCAGACTGATATTTTTAAATAGTGTTTTTCCTTGATTTTTGCCCATATTGAGAACAGAGCATTTCTAATGTAGATCCCTTCTATGTATTTCTGACTATTGAAGAGCAGTACATGTTCTATCCAATTCATCTTCCATTCCCTAACCTGGCCTACTCCCCTCCAGTTGCACAACTAAAATTCAACTTTGGTTTTCTTTGCTTTCCTGAAAAAATACATCCTTTTTCCAAGCAGTAATATTTTAACTGACCAGAGAGAGTTCTTTTAAAAATGGAAACAAAACTAACTGCATAATCATTTAGCTTTTACTCATTGAAGCTTTATTTATGATGATTCAGCAGTTAAATTGAGGAAATAATTTTGCTTTGGAAGATTTTTGTCCATTGTGTCTTAACAATTCGGAAATCCTTCCATTTTGCAAGCAAAATTTCTTTTTCTTCTTCCACTATAATCTGAGAAAGGATTTATTGTAGTTTTAATAGAATTTACAGAATGAAAAAGTGGTTATCTGTGTATAGAGGTCTGGATTAATGTAGGGCTTATTCAATGTTCTGATAAAAAAATTATTTAGTTGAAAATAATCATGGTGGGGAAAAGAAAGATCCTGACAGTTGATAGGAAAGCAAGATGGGGAAAAAGTATCTTCTGGAGACTGAAAAGGTTACTAGAAAAGAAAAGAGATACAATATTGATAGCCAAATTTGGCCCTAAATTCTGCCTCGATTTGTCTTCTCAATAAGTAACTGAGTCAGAAGATCATTTAAAAGCAGTTTATTAGGGAATCCTGATAAAGTGAGATTTCCCTATGAAAAGGGAAAACCCTATCTTACATTCCTTTGTATAGTTAACACAACAAAGAAAATGCAAGAGGAAAGTTGGTTGAACAGCATAAAAGTAATCCTTCTTTGCACAGTAAATCAGCTACAAAGGTTGTTTGAAGTTAGACAACCAGTTGCCAGTTGACACTAAGAATTTTTTTCTTATCAGGAGATAGTCTCCAGCCATCCTTCTGTAGCTTATCTTTTCAGATTAGGAATGTTAGAAGCTATCCAATCAATCCATACAGCCATAGGATAATAAATTTTCCTACATTCCAGTCTAATGGTTTTATAAATTTTATCACCTTATCATGCCATTTTAAAAGACACAAAAGTAAGTCAAATAAAAATACAAAGTAACTATTGTGAGAAAATGACAACTAGGCTTTAAAGCTGGTGTAGGCCTCTGCCTAATTAAAGGCCTCAAATTAACAATATATCATAGCACCGGCTGAGCTGATTTTACAAGCATAGCAAAATATTTGCAATCTACTGAATTAAATTTGCCAGCACAGCAATATATTTGCTATCTGTAGCTTCTGCAAAAACACATAATTGCTCATGATCAATTTTAGGGTTTTCAAGAATGTCTGGGACACTGAGAAAAAAAGGAACTGAAAGTAGCAGATGGTAAGAGAATTGGCATCAGTGGTGGTATGCTACTGGTTTGGCCCGGTTCTGCTGAGCCAGTAGCGATGATGAGCAGCGGAGACCGAACTGGTTCTCTCTGCCGCTCTGCTGTTGGGCCCACCCGCCTGCCCGGGCTCCCATACTCACCTTTATCCTCTGCTTTTGAAGCACAGCTGCTTTGTGCGGCACAGAAGAGTGTAGCGCGGCAGCTGCTGAAGCGGCCGGGAGAGTGCAGGCTTGCAGGTGGTGAGTTGGAATGCCTCTGCGCCTGTGCAAACGCCTCTGCGTCTGCTTAAAGTGCGTGTTTGGTGCACACGTGCATGCAAAAGTGTGTGCATGCTCACAAAGCACGCCACCAAGCCACGCCCACTGTACAGGTGGTAAAATTTTTTGAATCCCATCACTGATTGGCATATACCTACAAGTGGGTGTTAATTGACAGTCAGTATGAGGGGACAAGGAAGTACATTCAATAAGATTACATACTACTTGGTGGAGTTCAGAAGAAGGGTGTTTCTCTTTTATTGGAATATTTTTTATAACATGTTTAAAACACTGAATAAAATACAGGTAAAAGTAACTATATTGCTAACAAATTACAAAGTCCATATCATGTGCCCCTCAGTATAGAATAATATAGAAGTATAATAGGATAATAGTAGGATATAGAAATGATTCCAAAAATGTTAATTGTTTTCATTTTTGTTTCATTTTCATTCAGCAATATCTGCTTTTTCAGCAAGCTTGTTCCTTATTTTGCTATCTCTGTTTTCAAAAGAGAAGGAAGTTTTACCGTGGTGTTATTTCTTTCTCTCCCAGTTCACATAAAGGGCAATAACAGTAGCTTGAACTACTCTTACTGAATCTAAGTTCCAAAGTGTCTGTTCCTAAATAATTGTGTATGCATTGTATAGTAATAATAAATAAATGTAGTAGAATATATTATAGCATTAAGTAGAAAGTTACTCTATAGGCATTTGTTTTTTTGTATATGTATATGTTAAGCATTTAGCACTCTATACGCATTTGTTATCTTGCTGTTGTAAAAATTTTTTCTTAACCATTCACTTGTTGTAAAACAATTATAAACACATGCCTGCAATCAGTTACATCTTTCTCCTATTAAGACACATGATTCTTCCATCTAAATCAATCTGAATCCATCTGTTTTCCTGGATTGACAGATGTCACTCTGGCATCCTCTGGGAATGTAACATATCCCAAGCCTCTCAGAGTAATCCACCTTTGAAGTGTGCTGTTAATAGCCTCCTCCAGTGGTCAATTGTGATCAATTAGGAAGAAAATGGGAGAAGAGATAACAAAAGGTAAACATTGCCAGAAAAAGATCTGTCTTTTGCAGGAAGATGTAAATCTAAGTTTAGAGAGTTTTACAATGCAATTAAAATATATGACTTGACATCTAAGAATCCTAAAGGTATAAGAAGACTTTAATTTCTCCATATGGCTTGTAGCCTTCCTCTCATATCTATCTTGTGTATATGCATAGATTGGTTTTACCCTAACTTTGCTTGATCACTTAAAGTTTGATTTTGTTCTTCAAAGCCTCTGCTTAAGTTCATTTTTAGCACACTGTGATCTTAAGTTATAGCCAGACTTTACAATTCAGCAACATCTGCTTTTTCAGCATGCTTGTTCATTAGTTTGCTATGTCTGTTTTCAAAAGAGAAAGAAGTTTTACCATGGTGTTATTTCTTTCTCTCCCAGTTCACATGAAGGGCAATAACAGTAGCTAGAACCATTCTTACTTAATCTAAGTTCCAAAGTGTCTGTTGCTAAATAATTGTGTATGCATTGTTTATTTTACAGATATTGATCCATCAACAGGGTGAAAGACAGTTCACCCAGTCTCCTCTTTCTTCTCCAAACACTCTAGAAGAATGAGAGGTAGCAGCCTCCGCTTTCTAAATCTATTTTGATAGCTTATTATATAGAGGCCATAGGCAGAATCCTACTGGAGAAAGATTTAACTTTAAAAACTTAGTCACACCTGTATAATAAACTCAAGGCAATCCATGGTTTATAAATCTGAGATGTACAGCACAGAAGACACAACTTACAACAAATAGGTCCAAGATTCATTGATCCTTTGTATCATCGCTTTGTATCTTTATTTACTGCTTTCTATTTGTTTTAATAATAACTGAATTAAGTGGACCTGTTTTCAAATGCATTTAATTATCTTTATTTTGTGCCATTTTGGTTGCATAAAGAAATAACCAGCTTTGGATTTTAGATGTTTATCAATAGACTCACATCGCTATAATGCCTTTTACTAGTTAATGAATCCCCTGGAACTTTTATTAAATGTCTTATATCAATATATATATTTCTCTTCCGTAATTATAGATAACATAGTCTAGATATAAGGTACTTGCTGTTTTTCCTATTAAGCATGTGTGAACACTCTGCCAGTTATTCAAGCATATGTCATTTGAAATAATGGTGAACTCCAAGCACATTTTTTTTTGTAAAATAAAACCAGGACTCTGTAGTGAATGTTTTTATTCCATTCTCATCTGAAAGATGACTTTACAAAAGCTGAATTACAGAACAGTATAACCTATGTCATTTTCCCCATCTCCAACTCTACAGATTCATATAGATGAAGAAGTTTTTAGTAGGTGAATTTTACCAGCATTTAAATAATACTGGTATACATATTCACATCTGTTTTTATATTGTATGTATTTGTATATACAGATACACACTGTTAATTTGTCTTGTGAGAAACAGATATATTTTCTGAAATAAATATGTTAAAAGCAACAGCAAGCTTTATTTACCATTTTGAGGATCTCAAACATCTTATGAATTAAAGCTTTGTATAACGAAATCTACTTATAGCAGAAAATCCAGCTAATTGATTGTTTTATGGTGGAAATCTTCCTCTGCCTGCAGACATGTTGTCTTGCCAGTGTATAATGTGCTTAACTAATAGTACTTTTATTGTTGTTGTTATTCTAGTATCTCAGGTGTCTCCGAAGCTGAAAATGCTGCTGGTCCAACCAACGTTATTAATAAATGTTATAACTAAACCTTCCCATTGGTTATATCTAGTAGATGTAAAATTAAGTTAATAGACTGAGAAGATCTCACTTCCATCTAATTTGTGAATAGCTTCCTATTTTACCCAGTTTTTGTTAACTATTAATGCTGTTGTTTTCAATATTTTAACATTTTAACAGTGATATTACTGTTTTTATGATGATAAAGCCACCTTGAGTTGCTTGACAGTGAGATGGCAGCAAGATATAAATTTAATAAGTAAATACATATTTTTTAAAAAAATATTTTTTAGTACAAAGTACTATCATTTGGTTCAAAGTCACCCTCTATCATTTGGTTCAAAGTCAGTATCTTTCCACCTTCAGTCAATTGAATCTTTTTATTAGATATTCCATCCTATAACTTTCTAACTGACAGAATTGTTTCCAGAGGTCTCAGAATATTAGTAGCAACCCCCAAACTTTTAGGCACCAGGGACCAGTTCTGTGAGAGGTTTTTCTGTAGACCAGAGGGGGAGTGGTATTGCATGCTCCCTGCATCCACGGATGGGGCTTTGCTTGTTCATGTGGCCCAATTTCTGGCATGCCACAGCTTGGTGCCAGCCCATGGACAAGAGTTAGGGACCTCTGTTTTAGTATATTTAGATCTTAAGAGGAGAAAATGGGCATTATTAGGTTTGTTTTTAGGCTACATTCAACCAATATTGAAAACAGAAATGCTTCAGTAATAAACACAACATATATTAGCCAGATAACATTATGGGAAAAGCTGGTTTTTCTGAAATTTGTTGATGATATACTTACTCATGGGCAATTTTTTCTAGCTTCTTTGTAGGTAATACAGGAATAGATGCTAAATGGTTGACAACTTCAGTGTATTACAACAATTTTGCTTCTGGGCATATTCTGTTAAACACGGAGACTATCCAGTTTCTGATCATGAACACAGAATTTGAGTTCCGCATCACATTTTGTCTCCTAGAGTACAATCACTTCAGAGAAGGCTTTTGGTTTTCCTTTTTATACTTGAAAATTAGGATTTATTTCTATATATTTTCCCTTGGGGTTTAGATTTTCCCTGTGCTTATGCATGATTATTCTTACTTTCCAGTCAATGAACTGGTTAAGTGACTAACATTTGAGTTTAGTGGGTGTCCAGCATGTAATGATCTTGTTACACCATTTTGGCACAACTTGCATACATAATTGCCTGGGATTTCATCACCATTCTGCTTTGGGAAGAAAGTTGCCTTTGTCTGTGGTAAGCACATATAACATGGACCCAAGTGCAAAAAATAGACACTGGGATGAGATTTGAGGTGGAATTTCACAAACAGAAATGATCCTGGGTCCTCTTTTTGGAAATGGACAGTTTTGGGTCCCCAGGAAGAAAATTCCTGATGCCAGTGAAAGCACGTGTAACAGAGAATGAACTAAAATTTCATTTTGAAATCAAATATGGATGCTGGGAATATCATGCTTAGAAATGGTCCTTGATCATCTTTTTAAAAAATGACAATTTTGACTCCCTGAGAAGAACTGGAGAACTTGACGAACTGGGAGTCTTGTGGAGGGCTGATAGCACTGGCTGCACTCCAACAACTCAACTGCAAGTCCATGTTTTGTACCAGTGGCAGTGGTTGGTAACCAAGCCTGGGTCCCTTCACATGATGACCACCACTGCCACCTCTTCAGGCTGCTCTAGGTGAAGGGCAAGCACTGTGCAGGTTCAGAAAAGTGCTTTTTCTCCTTCCTTTCCATGGCTGTCAGGCCAGTTGAAGCAATGCACGGCAACTGCACAGAGCCAAACCTAATCCAGCTTTTCCCAACCACACACACTTATTTACATTTGTACCAATAAAGAAGAATATTTGTAGCTCAGGATTGAAGTGAGGGGTCCTTGATATTCTCTGAGCTTGGTGATTTTCTTGCAGACAGTTCATTGTCCAAACTAGGTAACATCATCAGTGTGGGTAATGAAACGTCTGCAGGAAACCATCTCAGAGAGTACCAAGGATCCACCCCCCCTTATTTATATTTGATTTCTAATTTCCAATTGACCTCATGTGAGCTGGACAGGGATAGCCAAAAGGGCCAGATGTAACGGGGTGTGTGTGTGTAAAATGTCCAGGTCTGCCCTAAGATAGCTAGTTCATTACTGTTAGGGCTATGTAAAGCATTTCCTTTGGAAAAGTTTCCAGTACAAAACTTTGAAAAAACCTTCTGCATGTGAAGCTACCATTTTTACTATTGTTTGCTTATTCTGTTATATTTAGTTTATTTTAATCACTATAATATAAATAGCTTTCCTGAAAAGGTATCAGTTGCATATACCATTTCCTCATGTTTACTCAGAATAAAGACCTTTTGAAAAGGCTTGCTCCTCTTTACTCCAACTCAAAAGCAAGTCCCGCTAAATGCAGTATATTAGATTGCATCTTTCTTGCCATGAATTAAAGAACCTATTTAGTGCACAAATGATTAAATACCACTTTTCCAAAGAAAAGAATGATGGCAGCCCATTTTAACCAGCATATCGATATTAATATTCATGGATCATTCTCTTTAATAATGCTACATGAAACTTGATTGAATTCTCGAAAACATATTTTATCTGCATTGTCTGCAGCTGTTCACAATGAATCTTGAAGATAACCTACTTTATAAAAGCTACATTTGAGCAATTATTATTATTTGTAAAATAATGTAGTTTTCATTTTCCCCTCTTTAAGTATTATAATGTAAAGTGATGTAATTTTTTAAAAATGTACCAGAAATAAATAATGTATACCTTTTATATATAAATTTTTAGATAAGATATTTGATTAATGAGAATTTTGAGCCATCAGCCCTTCTTAATTCAATGGCAATAGAACACTGACATGGATTTAATTCTATTCAAATAAGCACATTAAATGAATAAAACTAATGTGCAAAAATAATTTTCATTTTTTATTTTTAAAAGATACATACTGTAAATTCTCAAAGACATTAGCCAAGCTGAATAGATGTCCTGGTGCTGGTTGAGTTAATGGTTTCACCATGGCTTATGCATACAAAGCCCCTTCAGAAATATAACACTTTTATTCACAAAGAGTATGTGTATATGTATGTGTATTTTTTTGTTTGAGAGTGCAGGCTTCCAGATAATTGACAGTCTGGTGGAGTAATCTCTTCTATTCATGCTTTCACGTCTTTTTTCAATCTCTATGGCTTCTCTGATAAGTCTGTTCTCTGATAAGAGAAGCCATAGAGATTGCAAAAAAGACCTGAAAGCATGAATAGAAGAGATGACTCCACCAGACTGTCAATTATCTGGAAGCCTGCACTCTCAAACAAAAAAATCTCCACACCACAAGCCAGGCAAACACCTGGGCACAAACAGACTCCCCCTGATACCTCCAGCTCAAACACACTTCAACCAGGCACCCAGATGAAACCTAGCTTCCTAATAAATGATAGCCATCCGTTTACTTGGAGCTAAGCTACACTAAAAGCCTCCAATACAGGAAACACCTTGTTGCCAGCCAATCAAGACAAAAAGAAAAAGCTACAAAACAGACAGAAGATATTAGAAACACCAATCAGAACACAGCAAACTCCAAGACCAATAAACACAGACCAAGACTCCCAACCAATCAGGATGAAGAAAAAA